TGGAGGATTTTAAGAACTCTTTAAGGTGGAAACTTTGTTAAACATTAAAAGTATAATTTGGATTACTTTGTTATAATTTGGACGTCGATGCAATTATTCGTGTAGGTTAATGATCCTCTTACAAGTTATCTTTGTCATTTGAGAGTATCTCTTTCTTGGGGTTCCACGAAAAGTAGAGATGAGGACTCCTCCGAACGAATCCTCCCACTTTTTTTGGACAAAAGTATTATCAATTTTTTTTTTTTTTTTTTTTGTTCTTCCCTACCTCGCCTATTAGGCTATACGGGATTTTCCCGGGCCGGGGGGTGAGGGCGGGGAATTTAAAATCCCCTCCGGCACCGGGACGCGAACTCGTACTTTTTATATCATCTCAAATCTCTGTTATCCGGTTGCCAGGCACAACTAGCGGTGCTGTTACACACGCTTTAGCCTATTCGGCCACCCCGCCCCCAAGAATTATCAATTATAAGGATTTGGTATTTATATCGTGTACTGGTCGTGACAGCGACAGTAATGAACAAAGGTCCCAATTCTTTGTCATGCTGCCCCCCACGTAATAAGTACTACATTCTTGAAAAGATTCCAAATATTGGTCAGTATTTATTAAACCAGATTCAAAGGTGTCTGAAACTATTTGCTTCTTAGATTCGTGAAAAGTTTCAAAAAAACTAAAACTATTTCAACAGGTTTTTTTTTCTCCTCCTGATCGGATAATTTTTTTTTAATTTTTTCTAATTTGCGTGTCAGATTCGTGAAAAGCCTTCAAAATTTATTCATATTTTATTAAATTAGCAAAATTATACATTTTAAAAATAATAACATTACTGTGCTCTGAAAATATTCAAACTGTTTTTTTCCAGCTGCTGATCACGTAATTACTCAGACTTTTTGAGATTTTTAAAGGCGTCAGATTCGTAAAAAGCATCCAAAATTTGAATTAGCGCAAAAAGAGTTATGATTTCTCCATTTTTGCTTTTCTGAATCTATCAGTGATGAAATTTTAAATTTGTAATCAGTTGATGAACAAGAATTTACAAGGATAACGACTGTTTGATTTAGTTTAGTGATCTAGTTCATGTATCTAACGATGGTGAATCTTGGTGTCGATTTCTTCTTGATTTTCTTTTACAGCTACCGCAGGTAAGGGTCCTATAGATTGGCTGGGCATTATTGGAGGCGTAAGTAGCTATTTATGATGTTGAAGGGATTGGTTATGTTGTTTAAAATTTCAATGTTGACGATTCCACTCCATGTCAAATCGCCTAATGAAAACTAAATTTTAAACCTTCATGTTTCCAATTAACTGAATTGCAGGTATTTTTTCAATAACCACTAAGTACATTATAAATTTATTTTTAATGTATTTATTTGGTGAACTAGTTTACAAAAATTCATATGAATCAGAGACATAGTGGTGATTTGATCAGGACCATGTTGTTAAATATACCAAGGAATAATAGAGGAGATGAAGGAAGCCTTGAAGGGCTGGATTTATTAACAATTGATATTCTTATCGTGTAGTATTGATATGAGGTCTATGAGAAAGGGGCCCTTTACTTAAATTTGTTATTGTTTCCTAAGCCTTGATAATGGGTCTTATTGTGTCCAGTCCCTTTAGATAACTATTTCTAAGCTATCAAATATAGTTTTGTCGTTTGGATTATGGGAACTGTCAATATATGATTCACCAATTGACACAGTTAATAAACTCAGTCTTTTTTTTTTTTGTCCTCCCCTTCCTCGCCTCTAAGGCTATACGGAGGTTTTCCCGGGCCAGGGAGTGTGGGCGGGGATTTAAAAAGGACGCGAACTCGTGACTATTTTTTTTATCAAAGTGTTATGTATCAGGTTGCCGGGCAACGGCGGTGCAGTGCACACGCGTCAGCCCATTCGGCCACCCCGCCCACAAATAAACTCAGTCGTTTAATTAAGGATTATAGCAATATTATTATCATTATTATTTGTTACGGGTTATGTCATTATTATTGTGTAGCAGAGGAAAATCCTCCGCACGGCTACCGGAACGATCATTAATCAGAGTACTAACCCATGGAAGAGTAGTACTAATAAAACACTACTTATATAGTGTTAGTTTTTGGCCAGAGTTGTATTTTACTTTAACTTTAATTCATCATTGTTATTCTAAAGGGGCTTAGTCCCAGAATAACGTTTAATTTTCTATTCTATATAAATTGGTCTGTAAATTTGTTATGATGACGAGGTAAAGATATACGATGTTTTGGATTGAACTGTCAAGAAATCCCTACACAGCATGAATACATTAATTTTAGGCAAGAGGCTGAGCGAAGGGTCGAAAACTACATGAATTGACCGAATTAACAAAGCTGCTGCATATCTGCATTTAGATAAGAAAGATAGCCCAAGATAGGCAGAGATAGAGATGGCTAGTTAAGGTGGTAAAAAATCTACAAAATCTGTAAAGCCAAAATCCGGTAAAGTAAATCTCAAAATCGTGATTTATTGAGTTAAAAATAAATATTTTGAATTTTGAGAGACCATCTATTATTAACTATTGGAAGTAATCAGCTCTATCAGCAATGGATGTGAAGCTGACTGATTACACTACAAAGTTATAGATATGGAATAATAGTGTAAATACTTTGTGATAGTGTAAATAGTGTGAAGGCTCTTAAATAATAGTTTGAAGCATCACTCTACATCTTTGTTTAATTTATGTCAATGTATCAACATCAAAATTGCTTTAATATTTAAATTGATAAAATAATTACAAAAAAGAGCTGAAACTAAACAAATTTTATAAGATAGACTATATAAAGCATACTAAACTAGACAGAATTTCCCCCAAAAACAAGTAGAATTTGTCTTTTTGAAACCATTTTAAGAGACTAAATTATGCTATGTTCTGTCATTCATAAAACTTTCGATTGAAGCTATGTTACAGAAAGTTGGCTTTTTCTCAATTTTTTAGAATGACAGATGTCACTCTTTGATATGAAGCCACTCATATGATGTTCAAGTATTTTCTCAAGTCACTAGTTGACCTGTACGAATAATTGGCATAGTATATTGGGCAGTGAACAAATGACAAAATAATAAAGAAATAAGTTAATGTGATGCATTATGAGCTGGAGGTTTTAATTTTTTTTCTTTGTCGAATTACACTAGTCATTGATAATAATAAACCAAAAATAAATAAATTTATATCTCATTCATCAAAATCCATTTCTCCTGAGAAACAAAAGGAGATCAATACCCACCGTATTATATATAATGTAGAAAATTAGTGACGAAATAATATACCCCCTTTTTTAAAAGTCCGTTCTAAAAAAAAATAAATTAAAAAAATTGTGATTTTGGGAAATCAGTTTATTGATAAATGAATGAATACTCCATTTTTTTTTTTTTTATGATTTAGTCCAGAGGTTTCCAAACATTTTGGTTCGCAGGCCACCTAATCCCGTGGGCCTCATAAGTCCCCAGGCAAAGGCTTGTGATGAAAATTCGAAGCGAATTCCTCACTTTTAGAAAAAATACATTCTTATATAAGCTGTAAGGACAAGTTGATAAAGTTTTAAGTTAAGAACTGATGCAGAATAAGCTGAGACCCGACTCCAGTTTTGCAAAAACATAAGGTCATGTAAAATTTGATCTCCCCAAAATACCGGATTTTTCAACAAAAATAATTACAATAAATTAATTTGAAGTTTGTGTTGATTTTTTTCCTGTGAACTCCGACTTGTTTTAATAAAATAATTGCTAATACATCATAATTGCTAATTTTAATTCTATTATTTCATGGAAGTAGTTAGGCGATTGGCAAGATTTATTTATTTAATTTTTCTTACGTACTCACTATGAAAATAGAAGAAATAAATCCCGTTATAACGAAATAGCTGATTATTAGTACTATTTTAAAAAGGAGGATTTATTAAAATATTGTTTATGTTATCATTAATAGGATAATTATGTATTCTATTAATTTATATCAACTTATAAATTTCATTATTTTTTGCAACATTCTATTTATTATACTCATATTACATATTTTATGTTGCAAATCTTTTATAAATTAAAAAAATACATTATATCACAGTTCACCGCAAAAAACAATAAAATGTTTGTAATTATTTCATGTAATATCATAATAATACGGTGGAGATTATATTATATTCACAACTCCAGAAGCTATTTTCTTGTGAAATTAGCTTTGTAGTTAAACAAAACCGGTAGAATTCAGTTCAATGCGACATCTTCTTAGCATACACAACCTATGCTCAGCTAATTCACTATCTGGAAGTAAAGAAAGTAATAATAATAGTGATTTCGGTTTAGGTAAAATATCATTATAAATTAACTAATTATATAGCTTGCTCAATAGTTTAATATATTTTATAATGTTTGAGTTTAGAAGTGGCGTAGAAAAGAAACCTCGAAGTTTACTACAAAGTTTATACACTTTTTTAACATAACAATTACATAGAAATTGCATCACCTATTTGTTTACTTATTATGTTTAAAGAAAACTTTAACAACGTTTCTCATGCCAGGATAAAAGCTGTAATTATGACCTGTACCAAAAACCGTCCTCGTCAAAAATTATTAAAATTATGACGATAAATGAAGTAAAGGAATTTTCATAGGAATTAGTAATGAGAAGAGAGTACCAGCGATCAATGGTAGTCATACTTTTGAAAAAAACAAAAGGCACCATGGAGCGAAAAAAAAAACTAAGGAGAAAAAAATAAACGAACAATTTGACCGCTTAATGGTGCGGTTGGTTTTAGAATATCCTTTCAAAACTGGCAAAGAAGTATTCGGAGATCTTGCATTTTCAAGGGTGATGCAATTTCAATGACCGTAAATGTATCTGATAAAATTAGATGATGTAATTAAAATTATTGAAAACGCATTTGAAAAAAAAAGAACATGCATAATTTCGATTAAATGAGGTTTTATTATCTATATCATTATCACTTATTTTAGTAAGCATTTTATATTTATTTATACTAATTAGTCCGTGCTAACAATTCGCACAGCATACTGGTCAGTAAATAATTGACAATACAATATTTAAATGAGTTAGGACAATGCATTAAGAGATAGAGAAAAAAAATTGTTTTCAGTCGAATCAAATTAGATCATTCATATTAATAAACATGTATACATTACTATAGGCTGTATCATTTCTAATAATTGTCCGATTTTGAATATTTTTGAATTAATTTGTAGGAGATTCAACAATCTTTCAAATAAGTATTGGTGCTCTGTCGGGGTAGGTATCGAGCGGTATTTTATTGTCGAGGAGTATAGCGTTCTGAGGATGCAATATACTTTGGCGATACGATAACCTTTATCGGTATCGCCGCCGATTATCGGGTTCTGTGTGACTGCTATAATGACACATCACCGCCGACAGAAAAACTAAATCGCCGAGACACATCCCACTCTATGTTTAGGGGTCTTGAGAGCCTTCTTCTTTGAGAGGAATGAATGCATAATAGTTCGTTGTACATTATATTATTATTAACAAATTTATTCGTGGTGTAATAACATCCACCTAAAATTTCGTGTATGGCTTTATATTATCGTAACCTAGGTTTTATATACTAAAATTCTATTTTCTCATTAAATTAGTTAATTTAACGAGGTATTAAAAACCCATAAATATCCATTTTCTTTCCACTTGAATCGTAAGATAATTCTATCACGAAGTCTAAAAGTACTAAAATATTGGGCAATTTTTCGTATATAACCTCGTTGATTTGACATGTTAGGAGTTGGAGGTCAAATCAAATACATGTCGCCAAACAGTCCAATATTATTGTAGACCAAATTTTTTCTGGGTTTTGTGATTAATTTATTTTGTCATACAAACGGAAAACAAATGGATAGTTATGAGTTTTCTGTACCTAATTAAATATACCAAGTTTCTCGATTTCCAGATTAAGACGCTCCAATTCAAAATATTTTCTTAAATAAAAAGAATAAAATAACCTAAAAATAAATAAATATAAAGAGCACATACACACCTATATACAATATTTACAATTTGGCGAGAGAACTCAAAACCTCCAACTGTGGAGGGAAAAGTATGACTCCAGGAGTTCCCTGCACTCCTCTCTCAACCGCGTCAATAGGGCTAAACCCAGTGGAGATTGAGCAAGAGTGTTGGTATTTTATTCTTATTTATTGTATATATATTATTTTTCTGTATAATTTATTGTATTTATTGTACAGAGAGTGTGAATGTGATCTGTGAACTCGATTATAGATGTCCTAGAGATAGATTATAATATTTTTCAATAAATAAGTTTAAATAAAAAAATCGTAGGTTAGAATGAGATGAAGGCATTCACGAAGTTTTAGGTGGATGTTAATAATTTGATAAAAAAGAATCTGTACCACGGACTAAAAACGAAGATATGATTAAAATTAAAATTTCCTTGGATATAAATTAGATGAAAATGCACAAACGAACTGGAGTTAAAGTTGTTCAGGTACTTCCAAACACAGACAAACCTCTTCTTTTTTTCTTTCTCTACCGCCTGTGAGTGTTTTTTTTTTTAATTAATGAGTACGTTTTGAAGTAGTTCATTCTTTAATTGTAGATAACAACAAGACCCTTCGGTAGGGCTAGAGGGCGCTGGAGGAGGAATCGAGTCCATGGCTGCTGAGGAGAAGCGGAACCGGTACAGCAAGGGCAGGGAGACGACCAGCTATATAAGGAGCCACGCCGGCTGGGGCTGTCAGAAACCAACCGTCCGCCGACATGCAGCCCATCTACTCCTTTGCCGTCTTCGTAGCCTGCCTGGCCCTCGCTCAGGTAAATCCTCTCAGAGAGTACTCTTTATTTCAGTTATTGAGGAAGGAAGCAGGACTTCTCAAGTACCATCCACGTAGGCCCTCTAGTTATTGTTCTCTAAGTATTTTTCGAGCAATTAACAGTTTTACTAATCTTTCCTCGTCATAATTATTCTCATATCAGTACGAGTAGTTTACAATTACAAAATCCGATTCCGAATACAAGTTATTGAATAAAAAAAAAAAAAAAAAATTCCTGTTCGCTAACAGTAACACTGGTATAATAAAAATAGTGATGAACTAAATGTATGAGCATTCATCATGTATTTTTTTTTTTCAAGTGGATTGAAATAATGCACATAAACTACATAATATATTTTAAATACGCTAACCCCGATATCGAAAATATATGTAATAGAAATAATTGTAACTCAATCCTACATTTTATTTTAAAAAAGTTTTTTATAAAATTTATAAGAATATTGTCCGGTATTGTTTTTGCAATATATTGTGCACCCCTAAAATATCAATTAATTAATAAAATTAATATTTTATAAGTTTATAATATATTAAATTAATTAAATAAAAATAAAATTAATATTTTATACGTCTGTCACACTGGAAATATGAATGCATGAAAAATCGATTATTGAACTAAAATGACAGATCATTTTATTGAATTAAAAAAAAATTAATTACTGTTCGCTAACATTGGTATAATAACAGTGGTATAACAGTGGTATAATAAAAATAGTGATGAACTAAATATATGAGCATTCATACATGTATTTTTTTTTCAAGTGGATTGAAATAATGCACATAAACTACATAATATATTTCAAATACGCTAACTGCGAAATTAATATTTTATAAGTTTATAATATAGTAAAATAATTAAATAAAAATAAAATTAATATTTTATACATCTGTCGCACTGGAAATATGAATACACGAAAAATCAATTATTGAACTAAAATGACAGATCATGAAATTGTTTTCGATTTCAATTTATAATAATAAAAAAAAATCTCTAATCTGATGTCAACCGTATTTGTCAGTTAAATGATAAACTCTATTTTTGACTGTTTTATAGTTTTGATTATTTTCGAAGTTAATAAATCTTATACTCAGATTGTTAATACAGCATTGAAATTTTTATTCTTATTAAATAATGTTAAAATAATTAATAATAATAAATTTGAAAACGAATAAAAGTAATCGTAAATAGAAATAGTTTTTTTCAATATCATATTGCTCATGTTAGTGCAAAAAGTGGTTTGTAAAAATTGAGTTGTTTTTACAGTAGATAAATATTATTTCCTTCTACTATTTTCCTACTCAGTAGACTACTTATTGTAGTTGCAGACTACAAAATGTCACCTTTAGCACAGAGAGAATAAACTGTGAACTTGTTACATACTAATTACTAATTGCACGAACAATGGCGATATATAACATAAAATATATAATTTCAATATAATAGCGCTTTAAATATTATTTTAATTAATAATAACAGTAAGGTCGGTAAAATAAAATAATAAAAACAACTAACGTTTTGGTTTCTATTGAAAACCAAACGATCTTTTGTACACTTGAATAAGTCATGTATCAAAAGAAATTTAAATTCAATATAATAATTTTAACTATGTACATCACATATTTACTAGAAATGGTCTAAAAGTTATGTTAATATTGAATTTTTTTTCTGCTTTACCGGCGATGTCTGGATCCTGACCAAGACTGATCTATAGAGGATACAGTAGGGTGGTCTAACTATACCCTTAAAATAATATGTGATAGAATTAAAGAAATAAAAATACCCCTGGATTTTATTAATTTCATCTTAGAGACAGATTAAACAGGTGTATTTTAAAATATATCATCAGTTAAACCTGTGAACATTAAACAGGATATTTGAACATAATCTAAAAAGAAAAATAATTGTATATCACTGTTTTTAATGCTACCCATTTATATGGAAAATAGATAAAAAATTATACTATTAATACTTTCATAAGGAAACAATAGAATTTCAAAACCTATAAAACTACTGAATTTGTTTTCTTTTTAAATATTTTGTAATCTGTTTTAAAATATAATTTATTAAAATATCATTGGAAGAAAAACTTAAGACTCACCAACCAACTCAATTCACATTTTCAACAGTCCAACTTGACTTGAAAGGGCTTTAGATCGGAGAAAAGCCGGATTTACGGAGGGGAGAGGGGAGCTTTCGGGCTGAAGCCCTTCCTCCCAAAACGGTAAAATATTACCATGTTTTACAGAAAAAAAAAATTAAAAACTGTCTCTTAAAGTGTTATTCATTTCGTGTAATTACATTTAATAGGACTTCAAGAATCACTTAAACGTAATATCATCATTATCATGATATCATAATATCATCAGTTAAACGTGTGAACGTCAAACAGGGCATTTGAACATAATCTAAAAAGAAAAATAATTGTATATCACAGTTTTTAATGATACCCATTTATATGGAAAATAGATCAACAATTATTTTATTAATACTTTCATAAGGAAACAATAGAATTTCAAAACCTATAAAACTTCTGAATTTCATTTTTTCCTTTTGTTTTCTTTTTAAACATTTTATAATTTGTTTCTAAATATAATTTATTAAAATATCATTGGAAAAAAAAAACACAAGACTCACCAACCAATTCAATTCACATTTTCAACCGTCCAACTTGACTTGAAAGGGCTTTAGATCGGCGAAAAGCTTCAAAACCGAGAAAAACGATATGAGAATTGGCGAGGATGGAAGAAAAAATGAGAAATCGTAAATAGACAATCTAAGTTTACTTACAAATTTTCGACCCTTAAACTAATTTTGTGTGTGAAATCAGGGAGGGGAAACGAACTGCGAGGGAGGATATTGTAAATCCTAAATACTTCTCTGACGTCAACTGAATTTATTTCCACCCTCCCACTCATTCAGGAGGGACTTTTCTTATGTGCTTGAGAGATTGTTTGTTATATAACAAGCTAGAATTCCAATATATTATAAATATTATAAAAATAATGTTATTATTTAAAAAAATAAATAAATTATCTATATAAACTCTTAAAATATTACAGGGTGGAGCGGTTCACGACCACGTGTCTGGTATAGCCAAGAAATGTGCAGGAGAAACGAAAGTATCAGCAGGTATTTAAAGACAAACTTTTCATTTTTCTTTTGAACTATATTATTCGAATTTTAAAATATCTAATTTTTTCATTTATAGATCAGGCAAAGATAGCATACGCTGTGGTAAACCCAAAGACTGAGGAGGAAAGCGTAAGTAGATGAACAAATAAAGTATATTTAATTAAAATAAATGAATTGTTAACACATTTCATTGTTCATTCCTTCATAAAATTCTCTATAATAGTCTTATTTTTTCATTTCAGTGTTATTTGGAATGCATCTACAAAGGTGTTGGAGTGGTAAGGACTATTTATATAACGTTATTAGTTAAAATTTAAGCATTGAGTAATATAATTACAATATAAGTAATATAATTAGCTAATTAACTAAATTTTAATCATCATTAATGCATTGAAATTAATCCATTGATTAAAATGTTTCCAGATTAAAGACAACAAATTCAGCCTTGATGGAGCAAAGAAACTCTCAGCTCAGAGATTTACTGATGCAAATGAAAAGAAGGCCGCTGACCAGCTGATTGATACCTGCAACAAGGAAGGTGATTATACCAAGTTATAATAAATCTATGAAAATAAACGGCAATTTAATAAAAATAATAATAAATTAAGTAATTACTAGCAATTTATTCTAAACAGAGGATGAACATCAAGCATCAGAGACTTTTTGACTAATTGAACAATTCTGTACCCCGTAGGTAAAGAACATCATGTTTGTTTTTGTTATTGTTCAGGAGAACCAATGTTCCATAATTTTTAGCTGTTAAAATTTGTTTCTTAGTTACTAAATCTGCTCTCCTGAGATAAAGGAGGCCTAGTCACATTTGTGTATTTGTTCAGGAAGCCATTGTTCCGCAACATTTATTTCTTAATTATTAAATTATTTAATTATAAAAAGGACATGTAGTTCCAAGTAATTTGAACATGAAATTAATAAATAACTTTCTTTTGATTCCAGTTTCAGCCGGTAGTGGCAAGTGTGCTCTAGGAAAAGCCGTGAGGGAATGCTTCATCAAGAATGGAAAGAACGTAAATAAAATTATACAATTTATCTTTAACACCATCAAAAGTTAATTTACCTTCATAAAAGTCTTAGGATTATTCACAGAGTGGCTAATAAGCACATAATAACTTGAGTTACCCATTTGAATTTCTTAAGATGTGATTTGTTTACCAAAGAGTCAGCTCCAAACTGCTAGGATTGCAAACAACACTAACATTTAGTCATTTAATTGAGGACTGTCCAAACTACTAATTTAGACATTTCTCGATCTCTCTCAGGCGTTAAGTGAAGATCATATTATCTCGACAGTGTCATTCTTAAAAGAATCCACTTCACTGCAAACGGGAGATGATAATCATTGCACTTTAAAACTTAAATTTAAAATAAAAATTATAGCCCTCTGATAATATTTACAAACTCAAAACTCAACGATAACGAGCTTCATTGTCTATAGATTGAACCAGGTCATAGGAAAACGTGTCAATAAACCTCTCGATACAAAGTTAACTTCAATGCATATTAGCTGGAAATGGTCCGAGTTTGATGATTTATCATTAATTATTTAAAGAATTTAAATATTTTTCAAAGTAGTACCTACAGTTATACCTCTCCTATTATAATTGTCTAGTTAGTTGGAGAAACAAAATTATTTTTAAGATTTTGAAATAATTGTTTTTAACCCCTTAGAGTAAGACTTATTCCCAACTTAGCCATATTGCCTAAGAGGAGAAAATTATTGTTTCCAACATTTACAGTGTAAGAGGATCTTCCAGTGCTGGGATCTGGTCAAAAGCACAGCGAGACTAGGATAGTTATGGCGCCCAGCATCTCTTGGAAATAAAAAAACATGACAATAATTAATTTTAGTCTATTAATTAGGCAACTAATCTGAGGAATATTGAATGAAATACAATTTAAATATTTCTCCATATGAAGCAGCTTAAGAAATAAACTTAATTTTTTTTTGGAGGGGATGGGTTACATAATTGTCCTGGGTGCCAAATTTATAAGGCCAGCTGGGAACTGTTAATTACAGTTTAATCTTCTTAGCAATATAATTTTCTAGATACACTGATCAATGAGTGGATCTCATCTTCTTTTATAGAATGAGATTGAATTGTGTTCTATATATTATTCATCATTGGAAACTTTTATCTCATTAACGTAAACTACCTTAACATTTCAATAATGTTCAATTTGTTTATTTTTTTCAGATAACCTTCTTCCCTCCTCCTTCATAAGAAACAGCACCCAAATACTGATTAGTAATTAGATTGAAAGCTGACATATCGTCACGAAAAACAAGACTTCAATATATTTATTTTATAAATATTATGTATATTTAATAACATTTTATTTAAATTAAATAAAATTCATTTTTCAACAAACAAGCTTTATGATAATTCATAATACCCAAAAAACCTTAATTTTTATTTCTTTGTCTATGAAAATGCAATAATAGTGTTGACTATATTTATTTGAAGTAAATAGCACTTGTATATCGGTTGTAAGGGTTTTAAAATATATTTGTATTTTCACTTTCCTATACATGTAATATATAGTTAGGGAACGTATTGCGATCGCGAAAATTTTCGAATCTGATTTTTTAACGGAAATACACATTTTGAGTCCAAATAACCACACCCCGCAAAATGGTTTGTGTGTGTAAGTGAACAGTCTAGCTCAAAAACGAAAGTCGTACGAAACTGATATTACATATTTAAGATCGATATATACCTGGGATGTTACAGCAACTTCTTTCATAAAATCGGCTAACCGAAAGTGCCACTTTATATCAACGGTTATATACAGTTTTACAATTTTCTCAAAAACGGCTCTAACGATTCTGATTAAACTCAGTGTATCATTGTATAATTAAGTGATCATTAATATCATTTAGGTCTTATACCCATATATGTCACTTTAAAGGGCTTAAATGGCCAACGTTCAACATGTATTCCTCTAAAGTATCTTTAATTTGATTTATTTTAAATTACTAGCTATCTCTTATTGTTAGGTATTGTGAAAAAATGCTAAATATAACTCTGGAAAGAATTTGATGATTGAAAACTGGAAAATGTTTATTTAGATCGAAAAAGAATCTCCAGAAATACTAGTCAGAAGATAAACGTACAATAAACCGTTGGCAAGAGGAGAATTTTAGAAAAAAATAATATTAGATAATAAGTTAAATAGTCGTAAAAAGTAATGGAGAGTAACGAATAATCAGAAATAATAATTTTTGATAAGTAATATTATTTAACGGATATCTCATGTTTTCAAGCAGATTAAATGAAATTTACTAATTAAATACAAAATTTTAAAGTATTTTCAGTTTGAAACAAAAGTATTTAAAATCCACTCAATCCAGGCAATGGCGTTGCTTAAAAACTATTTCCTTGTACTTGTCTGGAAGAAGAACTGAAATATAAAAATAGTTTATGGATTTATTAAGCATATGTTTATAACATTAAATACATGTACTATAGTTTGAAAATTCTATATCTGATATTATATTTAACTAAAATCTTTATATTTTTTATTTATATCTTATACTTCCACCACATTCTTTGTCTGTCAACAAAGTTGAATAGCGCAAATAAATTTTTTATAGCCAAAAAAAAGTTTAAATAATTAGGGATCAACTTTCATTTATTCCGAAAAATCTTCATGTAACCTTTTAGAAAATTAAATTAGTAAACAATTTGGTGAATTTTCCCTTTGTGAAATCCCAACATTATAGTGGGACAACTTTTGACCTATCTATGGCAAGCAATAAAAATATCGGAACTCAATTTTAGTAAACTTTATAATAGAAAAATAAGAGCTTAGTAACTCATAGTTGTACAATCCGTAATCATTTATTGGTTAAATATACCGATGTACTTTCAAATATCACTAGACATAAATAGATCAGCAACTGGATTTATGGGGCTTAAAAAAACAAATAGAGTTACGAGATTTTTTATTGCCTAGCGTCGATGTAATATATAATGTTTTTAGATACTTATTTTTAAATAAATATATTTTATTAATGTCATCAAAACTTTTTTTAACTATCTCATTTATTTATTCAATTATTTTTGATATATGTTTTAAATACATCTTTTTATGTCATGATGTAATCATAAAATGTCTTAAGAGTGAAAAAATCTAAATAATGAATGCACAAAAAGTGTCCGAAGACAGATTGTAATAACTATCGAAGAATCTCACTTCTTCCTATATGTTATAAAATATTCACATTAATCCTACTTAGTAGAATCATGGTCCATATTTGATTTTTAAAAAATTGAGCAGTACGGTGTTGTTCATTAGCTATATCTCGATTTCAAAAAGAATAATGACTTCACTGACTAATGAAAGCTGCATAATATCCTAACTGGATGCTAAAAATCTTAGTGGATCTAGTAAGAATGCGCATGACGAAAACATTTAATAAAGTTAGAATTGGAAATTATTTTTCCGAGAAGTTTGACGTTCTTTTGAGGTGAAAAAAAAATTGTCTCACGTGTTGTATTTATTATTAATTTAATACTAAACATGGCATCACAGAGGTAACTTACCGAAAACATTTGAGATTAATATCCGTGTTTGGATGTGGGTAGTACTTTTAAATGAAAAAAATATATACGATAACGTAGATGAAACCGGGAAAAACAACTGTAATAATAAATTTGGGTTTAAATATATACTCACCTGCAGAAATGACGAAGATTTCGCACTGTGTCGACGATTGCTAAAAAAAAATACATTGGAGAGGAACTTAAGGCTAAATAGAAGGTAAAAAATGCATATTATATATATTATGCATATTATTATTTACTGGCCAGTGTTTCAACTGCCTCCCGCATTGCCACATCCTACGCCCTGAAGACGACCTGCAAAGTGGGTCGAAACGTCGGCAAAAATTAAAATTATTTATATAGTTTAATTTTTTTATTTATTTGACCGCACCCTCGACTAACTCCTTCTCATATTATTTATCGATTGCAAGATTGTTTCGCTCGCATCTCCGTACTGTAATAAACTTACATTACTACAATACTAGCTGATCTTGCTAGACGGTATGAGCTAGTAGATCTTGGGTTTAGATGGAAGCCGGTGGGTGGATGCAAATAGACAGCGATTGGTGTTACTTGCATCGACCTTCCTAATCGCCAAGTTTTATTAATACATTTTCTTATACATCTTTTACTCATGTATGTCTTTTTCATTTGTTTACTGGTATTGACTTGGGCTTAGGTGCATTTGAATAAGAGCGAAAAAAAATGTAATACATTGATGTTGTAGTGTTGATTGGCTAAAAACAAGGATTATCAGGAGTTGTCAGTTTTTTTTTTTTTCTAGAAGAATTAATTTTTTTGGATTATCAGGATAGAAAAGTACAAATAACAATTTTAATAAGTGTAACCTACTTTTTCTTATTTGTTTTCTTCTTACACCAGTTGACTTCGAATTTTTAAGTCATGAGCCTTCTTCAGCAGCTTGGGGCTGTTATAGACGACAGCACTAGCAGATCCAGGATTTAATTTTGGGGGGGCTTCAGCCCGAAAGTTTTTTTTTCATATATATATATAACGATAATTAATTTGAAAAAAAAGAAGAACTGAACTACCTATATTAAATGGTGTTTAAGTGATTCTTGAAGTCCTATTAAATGTAATTACACGAACAATAATACTATAAGAGATAGTTTTTAATATTTTTTTCTGTAAAACATGGTTATATTTTACCGCTTTGGGGGGAAGGCTTCAGCCTGAAAGCCACCCCCGTAAATCCGCCTGTAGACGACAGTAGTGATCGTTTGATTCTCTCTTCTTACAGATGTCCAGGGAGCACATGGTTTACTAACTGGACGCGATCACATTTCACTCTCTCTTCATCAAGAAATATGGTTAGCAATATGGAATAGGGAATCATCAGGCCTACACCCAACCCCCAACCTGAATGACCAGAAGCTATTGTATAAGACACAGGGGTCGCTTACCTCTCTATGAATTTCATGGTGGGGACGATATCGTTTCCATGCGGGAATCGAACTCACTTATTTTTTTATCATTTTCTTATGTGTTATTAATTCTCTTGAGCAGGATTTGAACACTTGATATAAAATTTGCACAGGAGCATTAACTCGCTTGTCCATCGCGGCTCTCAGCGAAACCTAGTAATTTGACAACTTATTTTTTTTTTTGGAAATGAAAATATATTTAATTGTTTATTTAAGTGTTCGTTTGTCAACTTAACGAGACCATGTCTCATCTTCAGAACCTAGATCAGTATCGGAAATGTGTATCTATTGCAATTATTTTTTAAAATTATTACTACTTAGTACTCGATTTAAGGCTATAATGAGATTGAAAAAATACACATAAAAACCCGATAATGCCATTTTTCTTTTGATATTGCGATAATATCAATTTCTTTGTTTCGATATGATATGGAGCGATATAGAATGGAAAATATCCATATCGATGTTATCACATCTCTACCCTTGTCATATTAGTATTTTAATTTTCAAATCAAATATCTCCGATGTATGTTACGAGAATTCAGGTTTAGCAGAGTTTCATTAAAATCAGCATCGTACCAACATTATTTGGATAACGCTTCATTCTATGTTTTGTCTTTCCCTGAAGTTGGTAATGAACCTTGACCAAGACCATAAACTTTCCGATATGCTTAGAATAAAAAACAATATCTGACGTTCGAATGTGGGAAAGGAAGTTCTGCTTATAAAGAGAAAAAAAGTCATATTTATTCAATTCCCAATGTTTATTTTTATTTTTATTCATGTTGAAATATAAAAAATAAAATAAAATCGAAAATTAAAATTAATTTCATTACAAGACTGGTCTTGTATTAACTAGTTAGTGATGAAGAACAGATTTAATATCTTCAACGAAAGAGAAGTAAAAAACGACATTCTATGAATTAAAAGAATGACAAACCGACGAATTATATTATAATGATTTGTTTTAAGAAATTTTATGAAGCTGTGTATGTTTTGATGTGTGCATGTGCATCTTGAAAATGGCTCCTGAATCTGAATGTCGAATAAATAATACATGATGTGATGACTGTGTATATTTTGTGACCTTTGGCCTAATATTTTTTTAAAAAACTTAAAAAATTAAATTGTATAATAGTTATGTTATTAGGTGTAATAACATTTTATTATTTATTTTTTATTAAATTTTTAAATAAATGCATTACTTAAGCATTAATTTTCATACACATCCATTTCCAATACTACCATGCTTTCTTCTTCTCTTATGAGTAGCAAACTTTAATTAATAAACAATCTGAGATAAGTAGAGGAGGCTCCAGTTTTGGCCATCATTTGACAACCTTCCTTGTCAATTTTGATGATTATTGTATT